GCAGAGTAGGCTTTAATTCGCTCCGCCACCGGGGATATAAAATATGCCCTGCTTCGTTAAGCAGGCTCTTCTCCAGTCCTCCTTGCAGTGGCAATGTGGACGGAAGGGGAGGTGAGAGTTAAAGCTGCAGACTCTTCTGGCCGTGCCCTGTCCTGTTTGGACTGTGATTGAATTTTCAATTACTACTTTCCTGCTGCTCTAGAATGTTAATGCAGTCCAGGAATGTTTCCCAGTCCTCTGTAAAGGAGCGTACCTCGGCCAGGTAAGGAGTGTCTTCCCAGTTTCTTTCTGAAAGCAAACCAAAACCCCTTTGCAGCGTAACACAGAGCTGGTGAGAGGAGCTGGGAGAGCGGGACCGGGGCAGACCTATTTTTATTAAAGCAGCGGTTTTGAAACCGCATCAGAAGCCCACCTGTTTCTTCTTCCTAGAAGCGCCACAGAACAGAGCGAACATCTGAGCTATTCGGAAGGGTATTTTTAAGTCTTGCAAAAATGTATATGCAAAGTTTGGGCACAGAATCGTGTTCTACTCCTGAACATTACTGGCTGTAAATAACTCTTTACTCAAAAGATGTATGCTGAGGAGAAAACCGCTCGGTCTCTAAACCACTCGTGTAATTATCCCCGTTCAGAATCCGAATGCGGGCATCCACCCGTAGGTCCGTGTCTGGGTTATACCGGGTGGCTCCTTTCAGCTTTAGCGTGTTCTGTAAGGGGTAATGTAGACATCCGAAGGAAAGGTGGTCTCAGTGATGCCAGATCTGTAAATAAATACTTCCCCAGAGTCCGGTGGGTTTGTTGGTTTGCTGCTGTCTGAGGTGGTCTTGGATTCTTAGCGCTTCTGTTTTTCCCCCAACACGAAGCACGTGCGCTCCCTCTCACCCCCCTTCTGACTCGATTAATTGATTTGAGTGCAAGCAGCCACCGGGCTCGGGAATGACTGGTGACCCCAGGATACAAAGCAATCACATAAATCTTGTTTCCATCGGACATCAGCCACGGTTTTAGGCACGCCAGGTTCCTGAATAAAGCAGGACTCGGGTTCCTCCTCATCTGGATACATCGAGGAGCCATTTCAATTGATGGAAAACTGTCCTGCGTGAATTTGGTAAAGGCGAAAGGTCTTTGGTATCCGTCGCTGGGAAGGGAGGGTTTCAGCTGGGGCGGTGTGGAGCAGCAGGGAGCCTGCACACCAGGGCCTTTACAGAAACCCCAAATGTGGGAGAAATTTGATTTTAAGCTCGTACTTTGTTTAACAACGCATCAGTCGAGCAGAAGATGCGGCTCTGCGCGAACCAGGCTTTGCCGATTGGGGTGGCTGCAGGCTACGTGCTGTGTCCGGATAACTTCTGGTAGAATCGGCAAACCGGGAGATTGCGGAGTTACTCTGCAAGGCAGCGCTTGCCGTGAGTGACGTTGAAAGCGCACAAAAACGAATATGGAGCATGTGTTCTGTAACCTGATAAATAAATGGGATCCTGGCGTGTGAGCGAGTGGGGCGCGGTACGAGGACGCAGGTGACGGCAGGAATTCCTGGGAACTTCAGCCGCATCGCTCCGCTGAGCGGGATGCTCTGGAAATGCGCAGGTTTAATTTAATTTTGCATTTTGTATGTGTAGATGGAAATGAGATGGGAGGGGGAAGACGGCGTCCTGCGGTTTGAATTACCTTAATGGCTCTGTTTGGCTTCGCTGCCTTGGCTCCGGTGAGAGCTGATTGCTCTGCTTTGCTGCTTGCGTGTCCAAAGCAGAAGGCGCAGCGCAGGTTAAAACGGCGGCTGCGGCAGTGGCCGGGAAATGGCAGCGTGCTGCCTCGGCCGGACCGGGCCGGCGACGCCGCGGGGGCCTTGGGCCCCTGCTCCCGGTGCGTCCCCGCCCTGGGAAGCGGGGCGGGGGCTTGGGAGAGCTCTGTCCCGACAGGTCCCTGCCTTTGGGGCAAAAATACCCGGTTTTTGCGCCAGGCAGAAATACCCAGTTTTAGCAGCATAACTTTGGGCATGTTTTGGTTGATGTACAAGAAGTTAATTTTTATTCCATATTTAATTTCTTTTTTTTTTTTTTTTTCCCCCCGGTCTTCCAAGCCCTTAAGCGAATACGGCCTGGCATTGGGAAGGCGGCCTGCATAGCGCAAGGCTAACTCCTCCGCTGCCGTCCAGCTGATCAGATGCCTCTGAGATCGGATGCCTGGAAGGTTTAATTTGCTCACCTCAGAATGAATTCTTCCAATCGCGAGCCCATCGCTTGCCTGCGTAGCCATACTCCGTCTGAAGCACAGCAAGTCTTTTTTCGTAATTACACCCTGGTGAACCGATCGCTTTCCTCTCTCGGGTTTGGACCGAGAAGGCCGTGTTGCGTGCTCGGCCCCTTGAAATCTGTTTGAGGAAAATAAGCAAGAAAGTGGCATTTCTTGTTGAGACGAGACTCTGCGGCGCAGCTGCCGCCTGCGCGGGCTGGCCGTGCGCTGCGGGAATATCGCAGGGCCGGCCTGGGGGCATTAAAATCGTTTCCACAACAGCTGATTTGAGGCCCCAAGCCCCGACTTCGAATGCGCCCGGGCAGCAAGCAGGGACAGAAATCGAGCAAGCACAGCTTAGTAACCCAACAGACCCGCTCAAATATCGTATGTATTTGGGGGAAGGGAGGGCTCAGGGTGCTGTGTGGTGGTGATCGTCTTCCCCTTGGATCGTGGAGAAAGTTGGTGTTTCTGTGTAATTTTTTCCAATATCAATGAAACGTCTCGACAGCAGCAAACGCAGGAATATTGATTCTAACCCCAGCTTAGTCCTTACTTCTCTCTAATTCGTGAGGAGAGAGCTTAGCGTCGGTACCTCTGTTGCCTGTTAGCCAGAACTGTTCTTACAAGGAAAAACTAGCAGTGTGCGTTGGTGTAATTTGTACAGAAAAGCACGACACGCGAGAGATGGGGAACGCAGCCCGTGGTGGTCTGTTTGCTTCGGGTGCCGTGCCCGATGCCCTGGGAGCCCTGAAACCGCAGAAAGCTCCCGCGGATGTCATCTCTTACCTAGCACTTTTCCAGAAATCCTGATTATTTCCCCCCCGCCCCGTATTTGGGGGTACGTTGGTACGACTGCAAGCGCAGGCTGATAGGATAATGATATTCTGGCTTCTTTACTCTGTCCTGGGAAGATGCATTAATTCCTGCCCAGTCCCCTCTGCGGTCCCGGGCACGGCCACCTCCCGATTCTCGCGACGCAGGGGCTGCTGAAGGTGCTTGTGATGAGAGCAAATGGGAGATGCTCTGAGCGAGCAGCAAGGTGCCATTTCTTTAAGAGCTTTTTCTTTCGCGTTGGCCGAGGTCTCCCGCGCTATCCCTGGGAGAGCCGGCGCGGTTACCGCTGACCTGAAAAGCCACAGAGTCTATAAATGTTTCATGGTTTAACTGAATCTTGATTGCATAGCGCTTCAAGTGTCTCTGCTGTCGGGTTCCCCAAAGGCGCCCGCCTGCGAGCGTCCTGGCTGGGGCAGGAGGGCGAACCTGGCGTTCGGAGCGGGATTTTTTGGTTTTGGTTTTGTAGGCTATTTTGCTGTGCAAACGTCCCGCGAGCTGGCACGCGGGTGCGGTGGGGACGAAGTGCTGGGTGGGTTCGGAGGAGCTAAATGCGTACCTGTCATCTCGCCGTACGCGTTCCTAAGGCGTGCTCGGTGACGCTGGCCGGGACGCCGTCTGTGTAGCTGTCAGGCTGGTGCTTTTATTTCTTTTCCGTGCCTCCTTACGAAATGACTGCCTGCCGTGGCTCAAAAGTGAGCCGGGACCCAGCTTGGCTTGACCTGGGGGCTTGAGGGGGAAACGCTGGCCCCTGTTTTGCCTTCTTCGAGGTGTCAGGTGTGAGGCTGTTTGATTTCGTGTGCCCCGGGAAGCAGGGCAGGCATTTGTTAGGTCTGTAGTTTTAATTCTTGCGCGTGTTCCCTACAGAAAGGCCTAATGAGCGGAGTTACGGGAGGAGCAGATTGATAGTTGGTAGGGTGGATTCTTCCTGGCATCGTTAGTGTTTCTATCGAAGAGATCGGGTGTTGTTAGTCCGATAAGCAGTGCTGAAACACAGAAGTAAATGATTTGGGATGAATGATTTCTTACCACCTCGTTTTTCTGAAGGATGCAGTTATGAGCAGAGAAGCAATTAAGGCCGTTGGCGGCGTCTCTGGGGTTTATCACATCAAATCAACAGGGCAGCCCTGCATGGTGTGGGTTTTAATGCAGCAGAGATCAGGCTGAGCGTCTGACTGACTCGTCGTGTCAGACATGACATTCATAGTCTGAGCCCCGGCTTTGGGAAGCAGCTTTCCTTTCCCACAAGGACGTTAATTCCAAAAATCCCGAAGTCGCTGGTGGCTGCCAGGCTTCTGTCCGCGCGGGCGTGAGTGTTTTAAATTCCGTCCCTTCTTGCAAATACCCGCTGTCGCGAGAGACCTGAGTGCCAGCAGCCCTTTTAATGATGCTGGGGAGCGCTCGAGGGCGATATCAAATGGATATGGTGTAGTCTCCGTTGCATAATTTTTGCATGATAAACATTTTAACACCAGGAGGACCTGGGCCGTAGCGAAGCGACTGGAAGCTGGAGAAGCGGCTCGGAGCGAGGTGCCGACAAGCTCAGTCCCCTGTAAAACCAGGCGCAAATGGAGATGTGGGAAAGGGATGGGATTGAGTAGCTGAAAATGTGCTGCATGGGGGAGCTGAACTTCATCTTTCCTGGCACCTGGGTCCTCGGTGGCTGCTCTGCAATGAAGATTTTGAAAAAAGATTGCTGATTCTCCCTCGGTGATGGGAGTCTGAAAGCCATTTACAAGATTAAGGACTAGAAAGTTGGTAACTTGTACTTCTCTGAGCTTCGGAAACTTGAGAAAATCTCGCTCATGGGGCTGAAACGGGTAAGGACGGCACGAGGAAGGATTTAACCGTTCATCTGTAGCCTTAATAAGAGGCTGACCTTTCCATCATGTTCACAATTCTGTCACTGTATTTGGAGGCATCTCGGTTTAAATGCTACATCAATGTCTGGGAACCGCAGAAGTCAATGGTGTGTCTCAAAATCGCGTACGAGTTATTTAGAGGAGGTGAGGGAAAGAACATGAATCAGCAGCTTGGAATATCGGCTGAGCTAAAGCAGAAAGGGCAGCGACCGAGCGAGCGTCCCCGCAGAGCACCCTGGCCTGCCCAAAGCGTCCCTGCCCCGGCGGTGCCCAAAGCCACCGGGCAGCCGGAGGGACCCACCGGAGGCAGCTCCGCGGAAAAACCGTGGTGGTCTTGTGCTTCCCAGCCTCCGCGCAGGGCTCGAGGCGTCAAAGCACAGGCAGGCAAACGCCCTCCTAGGAAACCTGCCCGTGGCTTCGTGTGCGGGCGTGAACCCCCTGGAAAGGGGCTGGGGAGTGCTTAAACCCTCGGGGTCCTGCCGTCGGCCCCTGCCCCTGTTCTTCCCGAGACCAGATGTGGCTAAAATACTGATGGGAAGCATGTTCTGTCGTAGCAAAACACATCTAGGAACAGCTACATCCCTTTTCTGTAGCAAACCCGAAATTTAGCCTGCTCAGACCTTCGGCAGGAAAATCGAGCGCCAATTTGCGATACCAGGCGCCCGTCAGGGGCTCTCGGTGAAACGGTGGGGCCTGCAGATTTATGTGACCTTTGCTCGCTGGCAGGGAGCAAACCTGTTGGTGATGGCTGTCTCAATTACGGGTCTCTTCTGGAACATAGAAGCATTACCTTGGAGATTATAGCTGGCAGGGAACACAAGCTGCTGGATCTTCAAACCCATTTATCAGTCTGCTTGCCATTTGTATCTCCAGGTGGAGGAAATTGTTAACCACGCTGCTCGAAGGCTCTAGCGCTTGTGTTAACCCTTTAGTAACTCAGTAAAAGATTAACATGGAAATGGAGGAGCGGTGCTGGCCTGGTCTGCTTCAGCCGTCTTCTGTTTTGCACCGGCCCTGTTGGGGCTTGTGATTTTTGGCTTGCGGATTTGATCCGTGGTTGGTTTAAACTGACCCGGAGCTGGGGAGTGAGTCGGCTTCTTGAGTTCAGTGGGGGGCACTGGCAAACCAGATTCAGCTGGGGTTACCCGGGCTAACCAGGATCTGGTCCTTAAACGAGGCTGGAATCGCGCACGTTTTACTCTCAGCAGCTAATAATCCTCTGCTAACCGTATGACAGAATTAGCCAGCGAACACCGTGCGTTTGCGGGGTTTCAATTTTCTCCTTGGCAAAGTAACGCCTCGGAGCTGACCTCTTGCTTCCGATCTTTCTAAATGTCTCTGGGTGCCTGTTGTTCAGAAGAGAGCTTCCCTCTCCTTTGTCTCCACAGATCCGTCTGGGTTTATTTTTGATGTGCAGTCCAATACTGTGATGGCCCAAGGAGGAACCTTTGAAAACATGAAGGAGAAGGTAAATGTGTCTTCTGAGACTTTAACTCGCCACGTGCCGTGGAAGAGCTCCTGAACGCTGTATCTTCATCTCCTCTCTGAGATGAAATACGTTTCTGTCTGGGAGCTAACTGCAGCTCTGTCAAAAGCAAAATTTTATTCAGGCTAAATCGTCCTGGCACATGAAAGTTTTATAAGGAAGTCATCGTTTACGGTTTTAGACTGCTCGCAGAAGGGTTGCTGTAAGCTCGGTGTGGGATAAAGCAAACGGTTTATATGGTACCCTGTTTTCTTCCCTCTAGATCAGCGCGGTGCGTGCAATAGTCCCCAACAGGAGCAACAATGAGATCGTCCTCGTGCTGCAGCATTTTGACAACTGCGTGGACAAAACAGTGCAAGCCTTTATGGAAGGTAACAGCGGCTGGTTTCTCGGCGGGGTTTGTGGCTTCGTAGCTCGTACGTACCGTGTTTACGGACCTGCTTCAGCGGCAGCAGCAGGCTTTGTGCAGAAAGGGCTGTCTGCAGCAAGTACACTGGGTAGCGGAAGCTCCTGTAGCTTCTCAGCACGCCCAAGCGGAGTCTATCCACAAAGATAACGAACGGACGATTCCCTTCCCAAGTTTTAGCTGGTGTTTGTTCAACTAGGGGTCAAGGCAGAGATAAGCATCCGATAGCTCCTTAGATAAAGGAGGTTTGATGCTCAATTACAGAAACTCTTGTTGATGTGTACAAAACGGGAATGTCTTCAGCTTCCGTAGCCGCTGTTTGTACTTTGAAACCTGGCTCACAAATCTCCTCTTGGGTCCGGCTGGCATGCTGCATGAGGTGGATTTGCTGACCTTGGAAAAAGAGGCTTGCTGGTGGCAGCGCCTGTCGCTTTGCAGCTCTTATTTCCATGCTGGCCATGGCTGACAACAGCGCTCTGCCTCTGGCCTACAGAAGGTATGACAGCCGCTCCTCAGACTGTGGGCATCCTGACACAGTGTCTCTGGGGAGAGAAGGCCAGCAGATATCTGACCTGAACGCAACCTTCGAGCTCGGAACATGCTCCAGCAGGGTTCCAAGGACCGAAACCTTGAGTATGACAGAGCCAAAGAGAAGGCTTTTTTTTTTTTTCCCCCCTCTTCTTTTTCCTGGAAAGAGCTGGCACTGTGGTGTAAGGGATTAGTCCCGTTCAGCAGTGTGTTCCCAAAGCAAAAATGAAACCGATCCTTTTATTACGTCAACTAAAAGAATTGAAACTTGGCTGCAGGGAGTGTTACACCTGGCTCCAGGTATGGAGGCACTTCCACACGACCGGGAAAGAACTGGCGTGGATGCCTCGCCCACTGCTCACTGCTGCATTTTGTTTCAGGTAATGCCAGTGAAGTACTGAAAGAATGGACTGTAACAGGCAAAAAAAAGGTAACGCTTTTAAAATATCCATTGCTAAGGCATTTATATTTGTAATTTGAGGATTTAGACTACAGGGAACAGTAGGCATTCCTCGTGATTTAGATGGGAAAGGAAACCAGAGAGCAAATGTGTATATTGATGTCTGCAGAACTGATGCACGGGCTTAATCACTAGGTTATCGGCTGCCTCGCTCTTCGGGGCAATGATTTACACGGTAACTTCAGTGCTAGTTGTAAACATCATCCTCTCGCCACATTTGCATTTAATTTAGTTGCCGGACACATTGTGCCGAACACAGCGTCTGAAAAAAGGGTTCTAGACTTTCTGCCCTTACAGTCACCTTTATTCTGCTGACCCTCTACAGGACCCCGAACCCGCGCACGCAGCCCCACACCGAAGTAAATCTTTATCAGGTCCATTTATTTCAACAGAGCTCTGTAATTCACTCTTCAGATAGTCATGCTGTTCCATTTTTCATCGGTAACCTTTGGAGCTGAACAGTTGCGTTTAATGCTGAGCTCTGTGGAAATATATGTCTTCGTCACGTAAGCTTTCTCGAGTGTTTTGCCTCGTTCTTTGCTCAGACCTCGGTGAAAGGGTTAAACAAAGGTTTGCAAAGTTTCAGTACTTGATATTATAATACCTAAATCCACCAGGGCAAGACTAAAATCATAATTATTCAAAAGGACTCCTCTGAATACCTGAAAAGCACCAGCAAGAAACGGAGAGGGAAGAAATGTGACTGAATAGCCCCGTGTTGGGAAACGAGGGAAGCTTTCGCAGAGCAAGGTTTCGCAGAGCGCCCTGGCAGCTGCGCCTTGCCAGCGAGCACCCGCAGAAGCGACCCGGCTGGTGCTGCCGGTCGCAGCTGCAAACCTCTCCGCTGTTGCCCATCAGTTACGCAGCCTTCCTCTGATAACCCGTGCATCGCTCGCGTTGGCACGCCGTCGGAGAGGATAATGTATTCGCACCTCATTAATGCCACTGTATCTGTCCTCATTGTTGACTAAATCCCTCCTACTGTTAATAGGATCAACCGCCGGGCTGGCTGAAAAAGCATTTAATTCGGTTACTTTCAGGCAGTAAGCATAAGCTTAATTTTTCCTTCAGGAATTAAGCTTGACATTTTTTTTTTCCCCTTTGTGGTGTGGATACCTAATCCTTAGAACAAGAAGAAGAAAACCAAACCGAAACCGCAAGCGGAATCGAGCCCTGGCCTCCCAGACCCCGGTAAATTGGTGTCCACTGAAGAGGAGCAGTCGGCCAACTCGGAGAAGGGTGGAATTAACGGTTTCCATGTCAACGGCTGTGCCCACGACACGGAGTCTGTGGACTCGCTCAGCGAAGGTTTGGATGCACTTTCGATTGATGCCAGAGAGCTGGAGGATTGCGAGCCTGCTGCCCCAGACATGCCTGACCGAACAGGTTAGTCCCCGTAAAGTAGCGCAGGAGATGGGCGGCGAGCGTTTAAAAAGCAGAGGAGCTGCCTTCTACTTTTTTGTGTTCCTTCTTTCTTTTGGGTCCGCTTTGAGCACTGATTTGTCTGGATGGCTCTTCAGGAAAGAGCAGCTCGCCTTGATTTCTGATTTTTTTGCTTGTCGTGGTAAAGAGGCGGTCAGTGTTCTGCTGTGCTCTTCTCGTTCCCCTTTAAACGAGTGTGCTTTTCTACAGCAGTGCCTGAACTAGAGAATGGAATAGCAGACTTTGACACAAAATCGCTCACCATGCATCCTTCCCAGAGCCCTTCGTCTCTTAGACAGCGGCCTGAGCAGAGGAGCGCTAGCAGGTCTCTGTCCAGATCAGCAGCGAGCAATTCAACTCCTGCCTCCCTGTCTGTCGCGCGGCTGGAAGACGTCCCAGTTGCACCCGCAAACAAGAAGCTAGGTAAGGCCCTCAGGGGCTGCGCGCTCTCCGACGCCGGAGCAGGTTGCTGCTGGCCAAATTCTCGCCGCCTCTTCTGCGGTGTCGCTGACAGACACCGTGCTGAGGCATACTGGACTTTGATTTTAATGCGAGCTAACACGCTTCTTATTATTTGGCCAGTAACTTGCACTCTGCTCCTCCTCTTCCCTCTG